CTCCCCCATCCCCACCCCATATCACCCACTACCATGCATGCCCACATCTGAAGCAGTCTTTTTAGTCCTTAGGATTCAGATCCCAAATGTACCTCCTACCCAATACAGACTATTCTATTGTAACTCAGATACGTTGTTAATATGTCTGATATTTCTCCTATGTATTTCTCAATCTTAATGGTATGTATGATTTCCCCACTAAATTGGATCTCCGTCTTGATCTTGGTGTCAGCTGGAATCACTGACTACCTAATGGTGCTAAGCAAGTAAAGCCATTGAAGCATCAGCTTGAGGTTCAGAAACCTGACTGCAGGTTTTCTCCCCGGCATGCACAGTGTTTAGGAGCCAGGACCTCCCTCACCTTTAGCAGCCTGAGCACCGAGGGTCAACTTGCCTGTGGCTCGAAAGCACCGTGCAGAACAAGGACGGTTATAATTGTCATTATCAGTGTACTGTATTCCTCCTGGCTTCTTAAATCGCCAGTTCTCCTAAATGCTATCTTCTGCCCCACGCCCAAATCAGGTGTGTGTTATATTAGCCAAAGTATCCTGGAGGAAGAAGATAAAAAAAGAAAGGACCACCCAGCCAATTTGGCTCAGTGGTTGAGTATTGACCTATGAATCAGAAGGTCACAGTTCGATTTCCAGTCAGGGCACATGCCTGGGTTGCAGGCTGGATCCCTGGTAGGGAGCGTGCAGAAGTCAGCTGGTCGATGATTCTCTCTCTGATGTTTCTATCTCTCTCTCACTTCCTCTCTCTGAAATCAATAAAAATATATGTTAAAAAATAAAGAGAAAGGACAAATACCCTTTAAGTGAAAATCCTTCCCTCTGTCCCCACACCTCCCCCCAAAGCCATCTAGGGATGGGCTGAAGAAACTAAGACATCTGCATCATAAGCCTTCCCAGGGCTGAAGCAGAAATGTCTCCCCTCACGTAACCTTGGCAGTCACAAGCCAGCTTTTGATTCTCTCCACTGCAGGAATAATCACATGGCCACACAGCTAGAGACTGTCAGCCCAACTTGGCATATTACCTCTCCAAACACCTTTGTGCAGGAGGAGGCGGGCAGCTCCTAACTGGGTCATGCTGCCCATAGCTGTGTCTGTGCCTCAGAGGCAGCTGTGGGAAATGCTCCCAGGGCCACCTTTATTTCACATGTTTTTCATTGGGTTGCAGTTTAATAAACCTTTTAAGTTGTCTGTGAAATTGTCAGTAAGTTACAAGGAAATGCTTATGTCTTCCATTGTATAGATCTGTGGTCACACTATAAAGCTGCCTCCTCACAACCCCCCAGCTATTCAACCCTCCTCACTAGCACTGAGGATTTCCCAATTTGGCTTTTCTCTCCTCTGAGCTCTTTCTCTTGTTTAGGGAATAGTATTGTCCATATAAGGGATCAAGTAGACCCAGTGTGTGTAGGGGAAAGGTCATTGGGTTGGAGGTCAGGAGACCTAGATCCTAGACCCAGCTGCTACCAGCTAGCTTTGTGACCCTGGGAAAATCATTTAACCTCTCTGGGTTTCACATTTCCTCTGAGGTCTCTTCCAATTCTAAGATTCTCTGATTCCATGTGGATATGTGGGCTCTTGTCACTTCAGAACTCTCCTTTCTTCTGTTTGGCTACTGTGGTAAATAGTTTTATGTAATACTAGAGGCCCGGTGCACAAAATTTCATGCAGTTGGGGGGGGGGGGGGTCCCTCAGCCCGGCCTGCACCCTCTCGAAGTCCGGGACCCCTCACTCCTTACCACCCGCTGGCAACGGAGGCGGGAGAGGCTCCCGCCACCACCACTGCGCTTGCCAGCCATGAGCCCGGCTTCTGGCTGAGTGGTGCTCCCCCTGTGGAAGTGCACTGACCACCAGGGGGCAGCTCCTGCATTGAGCATCTTCCCCCTGGTGGTCAGTGTGCATCATAGTGACCAGTGTTCCACTGTTCGGACGATTTGCATATTAGGGTTTTATTATACAGGATCGCTTCTAATATTATAGTCACACAAACTCAGTGTGTGTTTCTCTCTACTGTTGAATTGTCCAGCCGTGGAACATGCCAGAGAGTAAACTTGGAACCTGGCACAACTCAGATTCTGTTTGGACTTTTCGGAAGGCCAGATGGTACCACATTTTTGAGTGCCAGTTGAGCCCACTTCTTCCAATTCTCCCCTGTCCCAATCTAGTAGAAATGACCCAGTCTTATGTCCATCTATTATTCAGGCAGCTGGGCCAAATTTGTACAAAAGGAGTACATAGTCCTTGGAAACCTAAGCTTTCTCCAGGGTGATTTCATGCTCCATGTAGACATCTTTCAGATTAGAAACTGGAATTTCAGCCATCAATCAAACTCCACTACCAACAGCTGGTCTGCATGGGGAAGTCGGCATCTGCAGGGGAAGGAGAGGAGTTCTGCTTACTGTGATTTAATTACGACTTAGTGATTTGTTCAGGGATGTGGAAGCAAATATGAATGAGCCAACTCTCAGGACCAGCTGTCGAGTGCTTGGCTCCTAATCTGCTGTCATCCCACTTGCCCCGAGCACTCCCGGCTTGACAGCTCACCAGCTAGTTAAATGTTTGTTTCCTCCTCTGCTCTGATTCATATCCTGGGGGCCTATGGAAGGGCACCCCCACCAGGTTATTTGCTGACTGGTAACTTCCCGGTGGTTGGAGTTGGATTCCCCCTGTAGCACAGTGGTGTCGGAGCCCTTCATATGACATGGAGGATAGTCTGTAGCTGTACTGTCACAGGATGGCATTTGCGATGAGGCATTCCTGCTGGTGGCCTCCAGAGGTCCCTCTTCCACAGCCACTTAATACTTTCACGAGTTTTCACTAACAGTTCTCAGGAGCTCGCACTGACATCCTTAGATACTGTTTTAGTTCATGGTTTTTTAGAGGAAAGGGCCCATCTTCATGGGGAGAAGGATAGGCACCCGGAATATCAAGAGGAATTGGCAGTAGGCACTCTGCCCTGAGAGAATGGAGGAACTGGGGAGGAGAAAAAGAGGATACTTACCAGTTACGACAGAGTGTGAGATTGATGTGAAATGCAGAAAAAAGGGCTGGTTAACAAAAAGCATTCGTGTTTATGTAACACACCGATACAGAAGTCTTGATCTATTTCTCAGAACATATTTCTGTAGCCACGGGGGCGATCACAGTTTGAGAGCATCCAGTGTTTTCACTGAGCAGTCTTCTGAGGTGAACTGAGTTTCCTTAGTATAGTTTCCAACTGAGAAGTGTAATAACCAGCTGTTACCATTTTAGTTCTCCATCTAGTTACTATTCCCATTGTCAATTGGCCCATGATTTCTGTTCCTTCCCTGAGCAATTTAGTTACGAGGAATCCGTTCTTCCTGGGCCAGCGGAGAAAATCAAGTGTCTACCAGGGGTCCTCAAACTACGGCCCGCGGGCCACATGCAAATACAAATATTGTATTTGTTCCCGTTTTGTTTTTTTACTTCAAAATAAGATATGTGCTGTGTGCATAGGAATTTGTTCATAGTTTTTTTTAAACTATAGTCCGGCCCTCCAACGGTCTGAGGGACAGTGAACTGGCCCCCTGTTTAAAAAGTTTGAGGACCCCTGGCTCTAGACCCAGGAGACTAAGTTTCTAAACCCTGGAACTTGGGCAGGTGTGAGATGCCCAGCTCCCCTTTCAGTAGTTAACCACAGCTCATGAGCATCCACCGCAATAGTATTTTTTGCTTAAATCTTTTCTTTCCAAGGGACACTGATTCCTCCACCCTAACTCTCATCTGAGAGAGGGCAGTGTGAATAGTAACCCAAAGCTGCAGGAAGAGGAAGCTGGCTCTCCCCACCCTCCTGAGCAGCCGAGTGCCCCTCAAGCCACAGGCTTTGAACACTGAAGTGTAGCCTAGCTTGTGGCTAATATTACCTTTCCTCTACCCTTTGCCACCGAAATCCTCAGCTATTTCTGTATAGCTCCACCCCACCCTATCCTCAGATTCCAGAAAACACCGGTAAACTTTTTTTGCATACTAAACCACCTCAGCAGTTATCTTGTGACATTCCCTCATTTGAATGAGAAAATGAAATCTAAAAAGGTCATGCTACTCCATGGGGTTCACACAGAATGGTGGTGGTAGAGTCAGGACTGGAGCTCAGGCCTTGTAACTTAAGCCCAGTCTTCCTACTGCATCACCCCGCTCCTCTGCAGTGCTCTGGCATTTGTATCGGCACTGAATATGTGGAGGTGACAGAGGTGAAGTGAAAGACCAAATGTAGGAAAAAAAATGACAAGAAAGAACTAAAGTTACAGGGATTACATAGACAGAGAAGGCACACGACTCTAGTTTAAGTTCACGTTGCTTCTGGGTAAGTATAAACTAATTCTTTCCTTTCCTCCATGCTTTAGCTCACTTAAGAGTGTGCCTAGAAGCAATAGCATCGTTAATGCAGATATAAAATTTATAGATGTAGGTAGATCACGATAAATGGGGTAAAAGGCAGTGGAAACTGCCTAGTCCTTCCTGGCTTATTTCCATGAGAACACACTTCTCACATGATTGCTAGCGTTTAACAGTAAATGTCAGAAAAAGAGAAATTGGCATGAGAGAAAAGATTCTCCGGAGGTCGGAAAAAGACAAACAAAAAAGGCTACATCCTGAAATAGTGAGACAGGCTGCCCCTTATCCCTAGGGGCTGAGTTAGAAAGGACAAGGCGGCAGGTGGAAAACCTGTACGTAGGAGGAGCCAGGAGCTCATCCATGCAGGTACTTACTATCAGTAACGGAGGAGGCTCCCCTTAGTTACTGAGGGGAGCCTCCTCATTTCCCACCTCCCCTTCCTTTTGCTACCGGGTATTTACTTTTGTTATCATGTTCTTTCCAGTGGGTTATGGATTAAACACTAAATTATCATTTTCTTAACTACAGTTGAAAACACTTTATTATGATTGAGTAGTTTTATCCACCACATTTAGAGAAAGCAAAATGCAAGTCCCTCTGCTATGCTAATTTAGCATCTTCCTTTCTTCTTCAGTGACCATGCAGCAGGTGGCCAGGACAGTGGCTAAAGTGGAGCTCTCAGACCATGTGTGTGATGTGGTATTTGCGCTCTTTGACTGTGATGGTGAGTGGGGCCCTCTGGAGTCAGGCGGGAGGACTCAGCCTACTGCCCTTGGAGGGGACACCGTTTGGAATGGAGCCTTGCAGACAGCTGCACGTAGTAGCCCACACCTCTTTAGCCTACCCCTTCCCCACATCGATGGTTCAGCCCTCAGCATCATGACATTGAGAAATATAACCCCCAGTCCTGATTTGTGTTTTCCAGTTCTTCCTGTAATTCCCATTTGCCTATAATTCTCAATTAATTATGACCACAAGGACCTTAAAAATGGAAACAATTCAACTATAGAAGTGTTTCAAAGTTAAATAAACAACAAACTCAAATATAAAAGCTAAAAAAAATAGAAACAAAAATATTGGACCCAGCTTGCTGCTTAGTAGATTGGGAGCACTCAAGGACCTGAATGTCTAGGAAGATGCTGCTGCATCTCCTCCTCCCAGGGCGCATTTCGGTCATCCACACTCCATCGTGGCACCCAGCTTGCAGCCATCTGGGTGTCTGTGACCACTCTGTAGGAAGCCCTGTGAGAGATCCCGCTTCTGCTCTAGCATTATTTCTCAGCTCTGTTAGCTGACATCATAATGATACTAATATTCACAACGGAGGCTCACACTTTTATCAGTGCTTTCCGTGCTAAGCTGCTCACTTAATCTTCTGACATTGGATTGTTACTAACCACATTTACAGACCCGGAAGCTGAGAGACTCAGATAGGTTAAGTAATTTTCGCAGAATCACAAAGGTAATAGTAGACAACAAAACCAGGGTCCGAATCAGAGCTCAGTGATGCCACCCTCTATGCTGTCTCACCTCCATTGCTTGTCCCACCTCCATTGCTTGTCTCCCAGCCAAGGTTCATTGTTCATCTTCCTTCAGGAAGCAAGGCTACAGGAATTCAAGAACCATCCCAGAAGCACCTGCCTATGTGAAATCTTCTGTTTTGATCCCAGCAAAATGAATTTTTTTTCATTCTTTAACTTGAGTCAATTTATCCACATTACTACATGTTACACTCTATCTCTGTATATGTGGCCTTGCTTCCCTACTAAATTGTGAACTTTTAAGGTTAGTTACAAGTCCTGTTCACCTTTAGAAACCCCACATATACAGGACTTCAGATAGTACTTTACACATAATCTCATTAACTTATTTGTTATTAAGTTGAGCTCAAGTTATTTAAATCTACTACCTGCTATCACAACTGAGGTCTGAGTCAAAGGAAGTCCCAGGGCTAGGACAAGGAAATGGCCCCATCCTCTAGGCTGCCCTGTCCAGTATGATACCACTAGTTACATATGGCTATTTTAATGTAAATTAATTAAAATTGAATACACTCTAAAACTCAGTTCTTTGGTCTCGTTAGCTACATTTTAAGTGCTCAGTAGCCATATGTGGCCAGTGGCTACTGTATTGAATAGCACCGATTTAAAAAAACATTTCCCTCATTGAAGAGAGTTCTAGTGAATACCATTACTGTAGAGAGATTAACTGCCCAACGATTTTTTAAAATATACTTTTATTGATTTCAGAGATAGGAAGAGGGAGAGAGATAGAAACATCAATGATGAGAGAGAATCATCGATTGGTTGCCTCCTGCGTGCCCCCTACTGAGAATCAAGCCCGCAATCCAGGCATGTGCCCTGACTGGAATCGAACCTGGGACCTTTCAGTCTGTAGGCTGACACTCTGTCCTCTGAGCCAAACCAGTTAGGGCTCCAAAGATTTTTTTAATTTATTTTTTGAGAGAGAGAAATGGAGAGAGAAACAGAAACATTGGTTACCTCACACATGTGCCCTCGAGCCCACAATCTGGTATGTGCCCTGACCAGGAATCGAACCCATCAGCTTTTGGTGTACAGGATAATGCTCCAACCAACTGAGCCATAACAGGCCAGGGCTCATCCCCAGGTAGTTTTACTCTAATCACATTCAAGTGGTTTGTTGTTGTTTTTTTAAGAAACATTTACGTTTATAATTTTTATAATTTTTGAAGCCGATATCCTAGAGCTGGTCTGTGAGGTGAATCAGAGAATAAAGGCAACCAGCCTCACAGTTCTCTACTCCTAGGAGGGCCTGGGAAATTACATTTGATTTTCCAGCCTTTTAGAAGCAGGCTCTGCCAATATCTACTTGAGTCACCTTTAGAAAATCATTTAACATCTCTGGGGTTTATTTTCTTAATCTACAGAAAAAGGAAGTATATATTAAATTTAAAAGCCATTATCATTACAAATTGGTAGTTACAAAATAGGCTTGAGGAGGAATTATACAGCATAGGGAATATAGTCAATAATATTGTAATAACTATGTATGGTGCCAGGTGGGTACTAGCATTATAAGGGAATTGCTTTGTAAATTATATAATTGTCTAACCAGTATGCTATACACTTGAAACTAATATAAAATAATATTGATTATCAATATTACTGTATTAGAAAAATAAGGATAAAAAGACATTGTTATTTCTACCAGTGCAAGGTCTTAGGTCAGAATGTCAGAGGACTTGTTCAGCAAAGAATTTAGAGTTGCACTCACAGGTCTCACACACACACACACACACACACACAAACACAGATGACATTCAGTCATACCCCTAGAGCCATCCAGACTAGTCAGCTCCGGCCTTAGGGAAGCAGGAAACAAATCCCACAGTAGTTTGAATGAAATGGCCTCAGATTTTTTCATCTGAAGTTTCATTTTACATACAAAATATTAAGAATCTTGTTTGGACTTTTTGCTCTTTTAATTACATTTAGTAAGCCATATTATTGATTGCTTAGCCCAGCAAGGCTACTTTTAATATTGAAATATACATACATAAAAGTGTAAATATAAGTGTACAGAGTGATGAATTTTTAAAATACATTTTTATTGATGTCAGAAAGGAAAGGAGAGGGAGAGATTAAAAAAACATCAATGATGAAAGAAAATCATTCATCGGCTGCCTCCTGCACACCCCCTACTGGAGATGGAGCCTGAAACCCGGGCATGTGTCCTGACCTGGAATCAAATCATGACCATCTGGTTCATAGATTGATGCTCAACCACTGAGCCATGCTTGCCGGGCAGATTGATGAATTTTTAAAAGCTGAACATGCCTGTGTAACCACCGTTGTCCAGAAACATCACATTACCTGGACCACAGAGGCCCCCTGCTGCTGCCTTCCGGTCACTTCCACTCCCAGGGGCAGCCACTCTCCTGACTTACAGCACCATGGACTAGTTTGCCTGCTTTTGTTTGTTTAATCGTGCTGTGAGGTATCCCCGGGGGTATCTCTGTGGTTGCCCATGCTCTCTTCAGCCAGAAAACAGGCTGTTCCGGTTTTCAGGTACTCTGTACAAAAGTAACCCGTTTAGTTCCTCTGCACTCTCCCCCAGACTGGTCATTAGTGGAGGTCTGTTTGCTGGCTTCCTGTTGCCTCATTATCCCCAGTGAGGCAGTGAGTCCTGGGCCTCTAGTCAAGGAACTGCCTCCTGCTGCTGGAGTGGTCACTGTTCCATGTGACTGAGAGGGGACCTTTGGTGAAAGCAGATGCTCTCCAAGTTCCTTGCAGACCTGAGCATCTGCCCCAGGGGAGGGTGGACGGGAATCCTTGAGAAAATGGGCTCAACCCAAAGCCAGGTAGTGATTTTGGTTTTCACCATGAACAACCCTCATCTCTCACCTGACCGTTGTCACAATCTCCTAAATGACCCCCATACTCCAGCTGTGCCGCTCTCTGGTCCCATCCCCATATATTCAGCCAGAAAAATCTCTCCAAATGGAAATCTAACTGCACTCCACTCCCCTGCTTCCAGTCCTTTCCTGGCGCTCTACCACCCAGAAGATAAAGTGCAAACCCTTTCATGAAAATACAAGATCCTTGGGGACCTGTCTCCTGCCTGCCTCTTTAGTTTACTTGCCATGCCCCCACCCCACCCCTGTGAGTCCAGCAATACCTACCAGTAGCTCCGTCAGCCTGCTGCTCCCTGCTGTGCCTTTGCTAATGCTACTACGACTACTTGGAATGCTTTCCATCTCACTCTCCTGTACTTGGCCAATTCCTGTTAGTCCTTTGGGATTCAACGTAAGAGTCTCCCCCAGGAAAGCTTTGCTGACCTGTAGTTGTACCACCTCCAGCTTGGGTTAGAGAGTCTCCCTCTGTACCCCTAGAGCATCCTTTACCCCATTATGGCATTTACCACACTGTTGAGATCATGTGTTTGTCTCTCCCACAACCTGTATTTCAAGGGACAAAGGTTTGTCTCCTTATTCACAACACCTAGCACAGGACCTGACATAGAATATATTCTCATTTAACTTTGTCACACTAACCTGTCAGAGTTGCATGCAGCCAGAAAGATCAAGAACAAACCAGTTCGTTTCAGGTCAAGAGAATTCAATTTGGCTGTGAGAGAGCACTGGGCTTTACAACTCACATTGTGTGAACAATGGAATTTTCTGTCTTCATTCTGAGGCCTCCTCTTACCCTTGTCATGTTTGCCTCTTACTCTAGGCAACGGGGAGCTGAGCAACAAGGAATTTGTTTCCATCATGAAGCAACGGTTGATGAGAGGCCTGGAGAAGCCCAAAGACATGGGCTTCACCCGCCTGGTGCAGGCGATGTGGAAATGTGCACAGGATACTGCCTGGGACTTCGCTTTGCCCAAACAGTAACCCAAAACAGCAAGAGGGGGCCACCTCCTTACCCCACTACCCTGCCGCTCAAGCAGAGCCTTGGCACAGGCCTTCCTGCTGCTGCTGGAAGTAGTGCTGCCTTCCTTTGGGAATGATCTCAGGATTCAACCCGTTTCCCCTCTCCGTCCTTCCCCTGATTCTAGGCTCTGATTTGGCCCAGTGACTCTCCCCATTGGTTCTCAAAAACATGGAGTAGTTCTAAACACTCAGACGTTTGGCACCTTCAACAGCACTACCCATCCAAGCATAAAGAACGCGTGGACATTCACAGATATCCACCAACCCTGGAAAACACCCAGTTCTCGACTCGTTCTTGCTGTGGATTTATATTAGGAACATTCCTTGCTTTTTCTCCTGCTGGTGCTTTTAAGCTAAAAATTGGGAAAACCTCTGGCAGCAAAAGGAAGTCTGTGATGAAGATAGTGAGGATGCCTGGGCCGCCCTGAGCTGGCAGGCAGCCAGGGCCAGAGAAGGGTCTGTGCCCGTCCCCAGCTTGGCTCTGAGGCCTGCTCCAGGGAGGTGATGTCGCAGTGGGAATGCAGCAAGATGTGGAATCTAAAGCAGCTGCTTGCTGGCTCTCCCTTCTTTTGCTCAGGCTCCGTAAGAAGACTCCACCGCAACCCTGTGTAGTGAGCAGCAGTGACTGAGTTCATGTTCCCTGCAGGTGCCATTCCTCCTCCAGGACTGTGCCTCTGAAGCTGAGGCCTGCTCGGAACCCCTCTGCCCTCCGCACTTCAATAATAAGTTTGCGACAAACCCTCCAAAGGCTGTTGTCTCCTTTATTTTAGGACCCTCTGGGACCCTTTCATTTCACTTCTCCACTGGGTTTGAGATCCTGTGTTCTTTCTACCAGAGTCTGGTTCTTCCAGTTAAAGGCAATTTTAGGCACAAACAAGAGGTGGGGGCATTTGGAGGTTAGTGGTGGTGTTAGTGGTGAAAACGGCACCAGGTATTAGACCTCGGTTCAGCAACCTTGGTACTTGAGTTCTAGCTGAGAAAGAATGCAGAGCCAAGACTCAAACTTTTAAGAGAACATTTATTTAGAAAGTCACAGAGGTAGGAGTGAGCCGTAGAAGAATGGGCTCAGGAAACAAGTTACAGAAGCAAAAGAAGGGCCTTGGAAGTTAGGAGAGAGGCAAGGAAGACACATGGAGTAAGGGGTGGGGAAAGGCTCAGGCTCAGGCGCGCTCCACAGAGAGTCTGCTGTCCTAAAGGTTGTAAGGGTGGGGGTTTTAGGGGAGGTCCCAGGGGGAGATCTCAATAAAATATTCATCAGCTTTTCAGGTGTGTCCTTTCAGGGTCATGGTCTTCACTGATTGGTCAGCATCAGGGCAAGGGTTAATCAATGCAGCTGGTCCTGATGTCAGCCATGGTTGCTGGTCTGGTTTTGCTGCTTTCCTGGGCCTGGAGCTGAAACACAACTGAGGCCTAGATGAATTTGATGCAGGTCAGAACCTCACTGTCTTGAGGGCTTCATGCTTCAGGGCTGTTCTCCAGCCCCCTGTTCATTCCCCCTCTAAGGGGGTCTAACTCACATGACCAGCAATGTGCTAGGGGAGGAAAGGTTCCTGTGGGGGTGAAGTCCTTGTTTTCCCAGTTTTGCCCATTCCACCCTGGTGACCTTCTGTACCTGGCCTATCGTCCTTGCGCTGTTTGTCTAACTGCCTAGCACAGTGGCATTGTTCCAGCACAGTTTGGACAGCTTTTTATCCTGGGCAAGTGTACAGAGTCCTTGATTACTCATACCCCACAATAAGGAACTAAGATGGGGTGGTGGAGTATATGAGAAATCTGGTACGACCAAAGTTTTAAGAACCATAGCAACCAGTGTTTTATATGGACTCAACTCTGCCACCGACTCAGTGTGGCCTTGAGGAAGCAAATAATTTTCCATCTGTTTCCTTCCACTGTGAAATGACAGGGGTGAGCTCGATGGGCTCTGAGGTTTCTTCCAGGTCTAAAAGCCTCTCCTTCCGTTCTCCTACAGAATTCCTGCCGTTTTCAGAACCTCCAGCTAGTGCCTCCTGGCATGACAGTGTTTCGAGTCCAGTGTCACAGAAGCACCACACCAAGGCCTGGAAGTTGGTAGGGAGGGCTTATCAGGCCGAAGAGAGCCTGGGTCTGCGCCTGTGGCTCCACAAGGATAGTCCCAACCCAAGCATTTTCTCAGAGCAATTTAACAACCTCAGCCTAACATCTTTTCTGGGAGCAGATTAATTTCTCTCTCCAAGGAGTTCGCCACTCATCTACTTCATGTCTCCCACTCTTTCCTTTCCTGGGGCATGTATTCCTGGTACCCACATGTAGCCTTTGCCTTGCTCATTGGCCAGGTCTGAGGCATCAGCAAAATGTGAGCTTTTCTTAAAATTGTCCCAGTATCCCAAATCACTCTTTTCCCAGGTCCTTGCTGTTCCAGCCTGGAAGAGAAGTTGAATACACACACTTCCTGGGACATTCATTCCCCTACGTCGGAGGGCCTACGAGAAGAGATCTGCTAATTGGCCTGGTTCACCGAAGCTGAAAGCTGAGCATAGCAGGCGAGGATAAGGATCTCACCTGTAACTTCTTGAAACCCCGGTCGAGGGCACCTATCCCAGGTACAAGGAATTCCAGCTGAACTCCTTGCAGTGCCTGAGGAAACAGAGGAGGTCCGGGTGCTCAAGGAGACAGCGGCCACACGGGCACAAGAGGGTAGATGTGCAGGTGAGAGGTACAAGCTAAGTCACCCAGAAGAGGCCAAGGGTTCCCAGGAAGGCCTTGGGCTAGGTGGCATGAATAGGCTGAGAGGATTTTAGGCAGAATTTGGGGGTAGGCTAGATGCATTTGGAAATACAAAAGGCTGATTTGTGCTTCTCTTTTTATTCAAATTGTTTCTTCCACCTAGACAGAATAGACCTCCCCTCCTCCAAGGCAGCTCAAACTGTCCCTCCTTAAGAAACCGTCTTTCATCCTCTTCCAGACAAGACTGGTAGCCTCTCCTTTGCCTCCCAAGGATCACTTGCCCACCCACAGCAGCACCGCTGCAATTCAATGTCATTCTTGTGAGACGGTCACCACAAGTTCAGACCCAGAGCAGTAACATGATCAAACAAACAGCCTCAAAGCTAATTTAAAAATAACTCTGGGACGATGTTAACGTGATACTAGCAGTGCCTCAGTAAGTTCCTCCCACACACCCACAGCCATTCTCTACTTCTGTTGTTCTCTACTTTTTAAAAAAACAAAAGTAATTTTCTCCAGTTCAAGCCCTTAGGCTTTGGGAACTCAGAGGGGACCCAGGCTACTTCCTTGACCTGGAACTCAGCATCATCCACAAGGACACGCAGGAAGAATATGGAGAATTACTAAGAACATGCATCCTCTTAAAAAATAATTTTAATAGCTTTCAGTGCCCACCTAGTTTTTAACTCTAGTTGGAACATATGCACTTGAACCAAATTAGAATCTAAGACAAAGGAGAAGTCTAGGCAATGGCTGCTTCCACACAGGCAAGAAGGAATAGCAGCCTGGGAGCCAAGATCCAGATCCCCACCAGAGCATCCTCTCCAAGCGGCTCAGAAAAGGGAGGGAGCAGAGACAGTGTTCAGCTTTCAGGCTTCAGTTGCCACCTACTGGCAAGAAGGCTTAGTGCAGGGACTCACATCTTGAGTGCAGC